CTTATAGCAAAGCTCTGTGATCAAAGCCGGTGGCACTGACGTTTCCTACTCAGAGCGAAGGTTTGGAATTTAGAAAACCTTTTTATCTTTTAACAAAGCCCGACTTTCAAGACCACCGTTTTGCCAAGGAGGCAACACAAAATAAAAACTCAACTTCGACTGTCATAGCTGAGCCATGAATTTATTATTCTAGCAGAAATGCATCCGTTCTCTGAAGCACTTAAAGCCATTGATCAATGGATGCCACCAAGCATCAGGGTTTAAAGGCAATTAAAAATACATCGGTTTTACTTTTTTTAGACTGTTATTTCCATAGGATGCTTAAAACTACAAACTGGTACAACATGGAACTTAATGTAATCTTATTAGTTAGAATTATAAACGTTTTATATATATATATATATATATATATACACATATATATATATATATATATATTTTTTTAACAGAGACCTTTAAAAGCGTGATGTGAGCAGGACAAATGGGAGGCCGCAGTGTCTCATACAAATTGCCTAATGACTGCAATAGGTACCTGGACCGGGTTCAAAAATGGGAGATATGGGCAACTTGGACTCAGTTCAAGTTTGCTTTTAATTTGATTTACTCCCGAAGCACCAAAGAGACAATGCAAAGGGTAAACAGGAGTCCAGAAAGCCTCCGGGGGGACCGTGGCTGCGTGCGTCCCTGTGAACTATACTCTGACACCCAAGTGGTAGGAGGCGCCAGCCAGTCTCCCGGACGCACTCCCTGGACGTCTCCTTCATCACCACCTGCGGGTTAAACATTTGCTATGTGGCAACGGGCGCTCTCTGCTCTCCCCATAACTGGGCCTGCATGCGGTCCCTGCCCCGGAATATTCCACGGGCAGCTCAGGGATGGTCTGCCATCCTGGTAAGTGACCCGAGAGTAATAAAGGCAATAATTTAAAACTGTGGGTTTTAGAATAATTCTTGTCTTTCTTTTCCAACCCCTCCATTTCGAGGACATGAGTGGGGACCCCTCAGGTGGACAGAGACACAGTGCGGCCACCTGCACCTTCCTGCTTCTCCCTTCCCCCTCGAATCCCTCCACCCTCACACCCATTGTACTTGCAGTGGGAGGATGCACGCTCAGAAGCCTGCTGGCACGTGTTTAACAACCCGTGAAGATTCCCGCGGTGTAAACACGCCCACGTGGCTGATTTTTAGCCCTACCCGCGTGATGTCACCCAATGGGGAGTGGGGAAGAGATGTTCACTGTTGTGTCCCATTTCCACTGTATAGATACAGTAAACGTAAATAACCTCCAGCACGGTGATCACAGTAAAACGATTAGAAAGGACGGTTTTTGTCACTACTTTTAGCTTTCATATAATTTATTCCATTGTTATATTCTATCTTAATTTTCAACAATGCCTGTGTCTGACAACTGACTCACAGAATTCCTGAAAATTTAACGTTCGGCTCTCGGGATCTGCCACCGGCCGGCTCTACCATATCCCCCGGGCGTGTCCCAATGGGCCACAGGTTGGAAAGGGGAAGGACATGCTTCAGCACTCGACACGAGATGGTTACCTGACGCTTCCAAACAAGATAGCCTTTAAATATGCACCTGAGTTTGCTGATTCACTGTTGGGATTTTTTTTTCCCCTCCCATAAGCCCCCTAACCGTGTGCAATGCACTTAATTCCCAAAAGGGCAACTGGGCATCGACTAGTCACAGTGAAACCTCAAGGTGGCGCCCTAACAGCAGAGCTTAGACGGTGCAGAGAATTCTTCCGAGGAGACCCGAAGCCCTTGAGAGACCAGTCAAAAGGAGCTGCCTTCTGACTGAAGCCTTTGGTTGTCCTGTCGACCCAGGGACAAGAGATCCTCCTGCCTGGCCCATAATCCCTGTAACCCAAGCCTGGCTTCATCCCTCCAGGGTGGAAGTGTCCCTCTGCCCTCCGGTCACAAAGTCGTTGAATGCTAACATAGGTCAGTTCACTCCTTACAAGACAAGCAACAAAATATCCTTCTTAAAATTCTCAAGCGGATAACCATCACTCCTGGCACACGGTTTCAAAGCCATCCCAAGGCCTGGAGCAACTGTGGCTTCTCTTTGCAACGTGGCAAATCCCCAAGTCGTGGATGAATGTCTGGGGAGTTTACGCACAGCGGCAGTAGTGACCTCCCAGCGCCAAGGTCCAGAGCAGTTTAGATCAGAAGCACGTCTGGGTGCCCAAGACAAACAAGAATATGAGGGGCGCCTGGGTGGCTCAGTCAGTTAAGCATCTGACTCTTGATTTCAGCTCAGGTCATGATCTCTTGGTTCGTGAGTTCAGGCCCGGCATTGGGCTCTGCGCTGACAGCACGGAGCCTGCTGAGGATTCTCTCTCTCTGTCTCTCTCTCTGCACCCTCCCTCGCTTGTGCGTGCGCTCTCTCTCTCTTTCTCAAAACTAAATAATAAATAAACTTAAAACAATTTTTTTAACTTTTAAAAAAGAACATGAAAGCGGGAGAGACCAACTCCCTCAGAGGAGCCCAGGCAAGAAGAGCCCCATTAAGAGAGAGGGACAGAACATCCCTGACATGGAAGGGACGGGGGGTGGGTGGCCTCAGGGCCACGGCCCCCTCCCTCAGACACTGAACTCAGCTGTGGGCATGTGACCGTCTGCCCGATGAGTTGTGAGGGGGAAGTGACACCCAGTGCCAAGATGCCATGTTCTTGCCTGCCTTGCCAGGGGACCGGGAAGGTTCTAGGTGGCAGCTGCTCTGTCAGCCTCTGTCTCCAAACAAAGACAACGTGGAGCAGAGTCGCATCTAGCCCACGATGGAACCGGAGACATGTCTGCTCCCCAAGCTTTACTTAATCTATCCTGACGGACACGTGGGCAGCTAGGAGTGCGAGCCACATTCCGGAAGCTGGACAGTGCAGGGTATGTGTGGGGAAGGGCACAGAGCCCAATGTGGATGGCGAGTAGGGTGGTGTGTGCGTGAAGAGGAGACAGCAAGGAGAGAGGGGGCCGGGGAGGGATGCACAAGGGCTTCGAGCCTTGTGTTCTCACAGCTCCCCTCCCCCATCCGCACGCACCCACTTAGGAGACTGCAACGGCCAGAGGACATGGACGGTGCCAGCCGGCCCTGGAGGAGCTTCGAGTTACTGAGAGGAGCCACGTGTTCGTGGGAGAAGGCCGGTGACCGGCACAAGCCGCGTCAGCGCCCGCTCAATCTCACACAAAGGGTAGGGACCCGGGTATCTGCCCAGGGCCTGCCCAGTACGGGCAGCTGAGAACAGGCCTTCCGGGCCCACCTGCAAAGCACCATCACCTCCTCCACCTCCTCCACCTCCTCCAGCCTCCGCTCACTGCGCCTGACTGAGAACACAGGGCCTAGCGGCTTCCCCTGGGAAGAAGGGTCCTCACTCCAGGGTCCCATTCTCAACCTCCCATGTCTCAGGGACCCTTTGGTCACCTGGGGAGACCTACGGATCCCTCCTCAGAATCGTGTTTTTAAACTCATGAAACAAATCACACCGGGTTACAAAGGAACCTCGTTATTTACCAACATAATGATCAAAATACTTTTTTATTTAATATTTCTCGATTTGGGGAAAGAGCGCAAGCGGGGGAGGGGCAGAGAGACGGGGACGCAGGATCAGAAGCGGGCTTTGCGCTGACAGGCCGACAGCAGAGAGCCCCGACGCGGGGCCCAAACTCACAAATCGTGAGATCCTGACCCGAGCCGAAGCCAGGCACTCAAGCTGACCCAAAAGATTCTAAAAAATGTGAGATACTGATATACGTGTTTTCTTCGAGCGCGTTCAGTATAATGACCTAGTAGAAGCTGACAACACCTGTAATCTTGAAGGAGAGATTTCAAGATATCTCCAGAAAAGGGAGGTAATGTAAGACTCTTCTGGGGTATCTATGAGGGACAAGCCACAGCTTCACCGTCAGGGGCGCGGCCTACATTCATGATGGAGGAAATGCTAAATTTCATCTAGAGGCAGCGAAAATAAAGGCCATGAATTTTTTCTGACCCCGTGACTCCGAGCCCCATTAAGAACTCCTGCTCTGGGCCACCCTGTGGCTCACTCTCTCGCCACCCAATCAGTGCCGCGGTGGCCCCATCAATTATTATTATCGTAAACGCCGCCAAGTCAGCCCTGAGCGATTTGACTCGCACGTGCCCGGATGTTCTCCTTCCCAGCGAGAAGGTGCTCGTCGCTGTGACACGTCTCCAGAAAGACGGACGGAGGTGGCAGCAGGAACCAGGGGACTGTGAGGCCAAGGTGAGGCCAGGCAGACAGGCTTTCCCGGGCCCTGCTCCCAGAAAGTCCCTTCCTCTGCCCACCGCGGCGATTGCTTAATTGGTGCTAAAAGGTCACATTCAAAGCACTCGGCCTCCTTTCCATCTTTGTTTCACGTCCTCATTCTAAATCAACCTCTCAGCTGTCAGCCAGCCCCGGGGGCCCCAGGGGCTGCACCGGGCTCTGCCTCTCCAGGAGCCCCTTGGCCACCTGAGCTGCGCCTGCCCGTGGACCTGGGGTCCTTGAGTCCAGTCATCAAATCCAACTCAATACAGTAAGGATTTCTTAAAACAAGGCTCAAAACGTGCAAAGCGTAAAAGAGTGTTAATACCCTACTATGTTAAAATCAGAACATAGCAGTCATCAAAAGACACATCACAAATTGGAGAAAGGAAAGCCTCAGATCAGGAGATGATGATCATTACATCTGTAACTGGCAAAGGACTGGTATCCACGATGAAAAAAATGCCCACATATCAATTTTAAAGAGACAGTTTATTAAAAACAAAAAAAATAGAGGGGCACCTGGGCGGCTCAGTGGGTTAAGCTTTCAGCTCTTGGTTTCAGCTCAGGTCATGATCTCACAATTTGTGAGTTCGACCCCCGCATGGGGTTCTGCGCTGGCAGCGTGGAGCCTGCTTGGGATTCTGTTTTCCTCTCTCTCTCCGCCCCTCCCCTGCTTGCCCTCCATCTCTCTCTCTCTCTCTCTCAAAAATAAATAAAATAAACATTTTTTTTTAACGGAGAAAAACAGTGACCAGGCACTTCACAGAGGAGGCCACACAAAGGGCAAACAGGCGTTTATAGAGATGCTCGGGCTCTGTGCTGGGACCAGGAAAAGGCACGCCGAGGCCATGAAAAGATGTAACTGCCGATTGGCAAACAATTTAGAAATGTGACGATCCCAAGGGTTGGTGACGATAATGGTGAGCGCTAGGCGCCTTTGTGCACGACTCGCAAAGAGGGTAGTAACTGGTTCAACCACTTTGGAGCGAGCGGTCTCTAAAAAGCTGGAGATATGGGAAGGTTGATAGCAGCACTGTTCATGACAGCTCAAATTCAGAAAGAAAACCAAGATGCCCTTTCCCTGGACGATGATAAATGAATTGTGGTATAGTCACCCAATGGAAGATCACATAGCAACGCAAAGGAACAAACTACAGGAAAGCAAAATCAAGCCAAGAAGAAACAAGCAAGACAACATATTCCAGTAAGGCTCACGCACATCCCATCAACTGTTAATCAAACAAACAAGGGACGAAATCATGTAGCGTTCAGGCTGGTGGCTGCACGGTGGCAGGAAGGGGTAGTGTCCCTGAGGCCTGCACCAGAAGCACCGTGGGCCTCAGTGATGTTGCACGGTCAGCCGTGCCTCCTGGGACAGCCTCCTGACCAGCTTCCAGCTCCCACTCCCCCCTCCCCAATCCGTGTTCTCCCACTGGCCAGGGTGCACTTCGCACAATAGAAACTGGAGCACATCGTCCCCCAGATTGAAACCTCCAGCGTCCACAATATAACCTCAAGTGAAAATAAAGCAAGGTGTGATGTGCTTGGCATACCAGCATTTGTGGGCTTTAAAGTGACAGTACATGTAGATGTGTCTTTGCTCATGCGTCCACAAGATCTCCCTGGGAGGACACAGAAGGACTTGGCTACAGTGGTGGCCTCTTGGGGAACCAGGTGGCTGAATGGGGCGGAGACTGGCCACGTGCTCACCAATCCATTTCCTCTCCCCGGGCCCACAGGGAAGGCCCACTTCCCAGCTTCCCTTGGGGTAACTCGGGAGCCACGGGACTACGAGTGATGCCCGTCTCCGTTAAGCCAGGCCCCGCTGTTCCCAGCCCTCCCATAAGGCTGGAAATGCCCTCTGGGAATGGTGGAGCCGTATAGTGGAAGGATACGGATCTCTGATCACTGCTGAGAATGGGGCCCTGGGGAGGCAGGGTGCCAGCCGGGGAGCCCCTGGCTACGTCATGAGGAAAGCCTGTCGAATGCCACGTCACTGAGAGTTGGGAGCGCTTATTACGGTAGCTAATAGGGGCTGCCCTGAGCAGTGCAAGGGGTAGGACTCAGTGCCTTCAGTGTCTACCCTTTTATGTGTTTTAAGTTTTAAGTAATACTTGTACGCATTCTATATTCAAAAACTTTGGTTGAAAGGACATAACCTTCCAGTGGCTCCATACCAGGTCCCCGGCGACCTTCCTGCTGGTCTTAAACACTCCTGACTTTTCCCCAGACTCATTCGGGTCCCTGTCCCCTGTTCCCACTGCCTCTGGTGCTTGTCACCGGGTCTTTACCCAGTTGATCCCTTGTCATCCAGAGGCAGTGGAGAGTCTCCGGTTTCTATGGTACATCACCCAACGTCCTTGTTCTGCAGAACATCATACCCTGATATCTTTCTTGTTGAGTTGTTGATTTATGGCCTTCTTCTTTCTACTAGAGTATGGGCTTCATTGCAGCAATAACTTTGTCTGTGTTGTTCACTTCCGTGCGCACAGAACTTACAGAGGGGCCTAGACCCCGTAGCTGCTCAAGAAAGGTTCGTAAGATGAATGAGTGAGTGAGTGAGTGAATGAATGAACATCTAACGGTTATGTTTGGGAAGTCAGGTTTGACACCTGGGGGACTGTCTGCCCAGCATAGTTGCCCTGGGCGTTACCATGTCCTGAAAGTGAGGCCTGGTGCCTAATGTCCCAGCTGATTGGCTGAGGAGTGAGTCCCTGACGGGGCTGGGCCCAGGAGCTCCTTCCCAGAGATCTCTGAGTTGAGATGAGATAAGCAGACATCAATACAGGTAGACTGTCTCTGGGTGGGACCGAAGCCATCACACTAACGTGGGCCAGTCAGTAGGGCCCCACGATGCTGAGCACAAGCCTGCAAAGGGTGAGGGGAGGCCAGAGAGGGGAGCCCCGGGAGCCCCCAGTCCTGCCGGCCCTGGGCTCTGCTGCAGTGACCCTGTGGGCGTCATGGAGCCCCTGGGCCCTAAGTACAAGGCCTCCTTTGCTTGTGTGGACTGGGGACGACTTTCTGTAACTCATACTCAGGAGCACTGGCGACTAGAAGAGTTCCAGAGGAACTGAACTGAAAACCCTCACGGTGTGGTCTCTGAGCTGGCTCTGGGGCTGCATTTCCCTGGGTGAGCTAGCCGACTCCTTCCCCCCCCCCCCCCCCCTGACCAATGCAATGTTCAAATCCTGGGGAAGGCGTGTGAATGACTCCTGGAACAAGGGCAGTGACTGACGCCCTGTCAGGGTGTCCTGCGTGGGAGGAACCAGGGCGGCCCCGGCCCAGATCTGCCTGCAGAGGAGGCGGACACGGGCACACGGAGCAGTTGTGGGAACTGGGGCAGTCCTGGTGGCCAAAGAAGTAGCCCTGCCTCACTCTGCCCTCTGCTCCAGGACTACTGCCCCTCCGCCTGAGCGCTGCCCGCCTCCCTGAGCCTCTCTCCAAGACTGCCCCTCAGTGCACCTGTCAGCAGGCGCCCACCCCCAACACTGCTCACCCCCCAGCCTGGGGATGCATGGCGCTCTGCTGTCCACCCACATCCTGCTCTCCCGCCCTCTCCTCGCCCCTGCGCGCACACACACACACCTGCCCACTGAGCACTGTCGTCCCTCCCTGGCCGTGGTCCTCACCACCCTCCAGCCTAAGCCAGGTACCTGTGACCCACCCGCCCCCCACTCCCCTGCTGAGCCCTGCTGCCCTAACACCCCAGAATCAGCCCTTTCCTTGCCATCCGCCCGCCTGGACTCCCACAGAGCGAATGGGCTAACGGCACATCCCTGCCCTGAAATCCGTCTGCCCTGCCACGCGCCCTTTCCTATCTCCCCTGACTCGCTTCTCCCCTACATCCCACCCCCAAACGACTGGCAACTCCCTGTGTGTCCACACCTTCCTGGCGCCTAGCTCCTCGGCAGGTGACGAGCTCCCTCACACCCGTGGCACCTTCCCATCCTGTTCCTGCCAGCTCCGGCCCAGGACCTGCCCCCAGGGAGGCCCCGGCCACCCTTCTCCTCAGTCTGTGCTCCCACCTGAGTCGACTGTGCTCCACAGCACCACGTCGGCCCCATCCCCACAGCCCCTGCCACACAGCAGAATCCTCTGCCAACTGTGAGCTCTCTGAGCACAGGCGCCTCATGCTGTGGGTCCCTGTGAGCTCCCTGCAGCTCCTCTCAGAGGCGGGCATCAGGGAAGCCCCACCAGGAGGACCTGGGCTGTTCTGCGGGTACACAGACACGGTTTTGGAGCAGAGGCTCCTGGCAGATCTCAGCAGGAGGGGCACAGGGGTTAGGTTCGGGTGGGGCTTCAGGGAGAGCACACAAGGCCTGGAGCGCAGTGAAAGAGTCTGGGAGGAACAATTTTCTGGGCCTGTCCGTAACCTGAGGCTGAGGGTCCCAGGAGGCCTGAGGAGGAGCTCCAAAGGGTCTAGGATCACTTAAATTGAGACCAACACGCATGCACTTTTTTTTCTGGATAGAAGATCCATTGATTTTGTTCGGAACCTCCAAAGGGTCTGCGATTCAAGAAAAGTCTAAATCACTGTTCTCAAAGAAAAATGTTCGTCTTCCTTTCATAATTAACGGAATATACGCTTAAATCCACGAGGTGTTTTCCATGTATCATAGCGTCTTTCACCCCTGCCTGCCCAGTAGAATCTTGGGGGGGAAAGGTTGTAAGTGCCAACGCCAGTTCCCTTCCTCTTAACCAGCAGCCCCCAACACACACACACACACACACACACACACACACACACACAAAACTGTCACATTCTGATTTAATCAGGCTGAGATATGGGATACGGCCTAGGAACTGGCATTTTTAGAAAGCTTCCCCAGGTAATTCTGACCTCGGTCAAGACTGAGAACCAGTAACCAGAACCAGTACTAGTAACAGTAACCAGAACCAGTAACTGACAAAGGGCACTCACGCTGGGATTAGATCCACGTAGAGGGGTTCAAAACGTCTTTGAAGGGCGATACGGCAACGACTATGAAAGCTCAGCCCATCTGCACCCTCCGCCCGGCCACTCCACTTCTGAGAAGTCAGTGCATGTGGATTTTACACCTGTGTTTAAAGCTGGGCCTGCGACATAGTCCCTGCCCTCCGCTCCCGAGAGCAAGAGACTGGAAAGGGCCCACGCGTCCCCCCAGGAGGGATGGTTAAAGCAAGCATGGTGCATCCACACAATAGAATGCCCCGAAGCCAGTGAAGAAAGTACCAGGGCAGCTGCTCCTGAACCGACGCGGAAGGGTTTCCCGAGCCTAGTAAAAGCGAACCAGGAGCCAAGGCGGTTTTGAACACCTGCTTGCTCATCTGTATCTGCATAGGCACCCGGAACCTCTGGGAGGAGGCTGTGGCTAAAACCTCTTAGCCTTTATGGCCTGAGGGGAGAAAACTGGGAAGCTCGGAAGGGAGGGGAGACCTGCTTTTCATCAGCTCCTCCTTTTGGGTTATTTGAATTTTTGTCATGAATATGCATTGCTTTTCCAAAAAAAAAAAAAAAATTTTTTTTTTAAGAAGGTGAAAGAGAGGAGGAGGGAAGAGAAGACCAGGCAGCTACCTCCCTCGTATGGGGAATTAAGGCCCGAGGGACCTGGTCAGAATGTGGCTGGGCGGGTGGGGCGCTGCCGGAGCTCCAAATCAGCATCGCAGGGGGCGGCTGTTGAGGGGGGTGCGGGGATATCCCTCTGGCTCAGGTCAGCCCTGGGGGCAGAAGCCGGCTGGGCCCAGACTGGGTGGGTGGGTTCCGTGACCCGACCCGAGGCCAGGTCCGCTAGGAAGGCTGTGGGGGCGGCTTGGAGAGGGCGGGGCCGCAGACAGATGCCTCCCTAGTGCCACCCGCACGCACGCACCCCCGTTGACGGAAGAACATGTGTCACGGCTCAAACTGGAAGCCACAGGACATGCATCTCGGCTCTGCTCTGGCCGCGCGGAGAGGACATCCTGCAAAATTCTAGTCCCTGGCGAGCCGCGGGAGGCGGCCAGGCGCAAAATGTCCTGCAAACACTGCCCTCTTGTGGTGCGGCCCGTGAACTGCGCTCAGGTCCACAATTCGCGCTGCTTGGGTGTTGGCAACTGGAGAAGGAAAAAAGGGACAGTTTAACTCTCGAGTGAACCCAATAAGAAAAGTACAGATCCAAACGCAAGTATTTTAAGCTCCCAATGAATTTTTCTCCAAATATAAAGTAGCTTGCTTTCCCCCCAAAATCCATATTCCAATTCTAAATAATAACAATAAGCATGAAAAGCACTAAAGAGAAAAAACACCTACAATCACTAGGCTGTGATCAATAACTCCTATTAGCATTTTAGCAAGCATCCCTCCAGATTCTATAAATATATACACACAGAGATATACACAAATTTACATCAATAGGACCATGCAACGCGTACTATTTTGCAGCCTGTTTTTCTCTGCATAATACATTGTGGGTATCTGCACAAGAAATACATGCCACATCCTCATTCTTAATGTTTTAAATTGTAAAAAGTATACTTGTGAAAATATACCCTTGAGTAGCACAAATGTGACATATATGTAAGAAAATATCCATTAATAGCAGACTGACTAAGTCAAGTTTGGTATATCGACACTAGGCAGCTATTAATCTAATGTACTGATGTGGCTAAATGTCAAAGATATATCATAGAGCGAGATGAAATCACATTGCAAAATAATGTTTATAGAACTGTCCTATTTTTACCTAAAAAGAATCTTTACACATTTATGTATGTAAAGAATATAAATGGATATGCCTGTATCTGAGGAAATGTTTCTTTTTTTTAATTTTTTTAATGTTTATTTATTTTCAAGAGACAGACAGAGCCTGAGCGGGGAAGGGCCAGAGAGAGAGAGAGGGAGACATGGAATCTGATGCAGGCTCCAGGCTCCGAGCTGTCAGCACGGAGCCCGATGTGGGGCTCGAACTCACGGAGTGCAAGATCATGACCTGAGTTGAAGTCAGACGCTTAACCGACTGAGCCACCCAGGCACCCGGAAGAAAGTGTTCCTTGAAGGATTCTCAACAAACCCTCTTGGGAAATAGGACTGGGAAAGCAAAAGATGAATGAGATTTTACCTTTCATTTTTTCTCTTCTGTAGGGTATGATTTGTAAAACAAAAAAACAAAAACAAAAACTATCAGCTTGGAGACACTATTTGAAAGCCTGAATGTACCACAGCTTAAATACTCCTCTACTGATGAACGTTAGGGTTGGCCACAGTGTTTCTACTAGGAAGCACCTTGCACATGAATTATGTACTGTGCTACTGTGCATTTGTCTCTCTGGGTAAAGTCCTGGGTGTGGAATTGCCTGGTCCCTTTTTAAATGTGTGCTATCCATGATATTGACTATTAACACATCACAGAGTGAATTTGATGTGACTGCTCTCCACCCGACTGGATTTTTCAAATGCCTAATGTTTGTTTCTAGGTGGGCAGGGCATGGCCTCTGTCCATGCTTTGTATCTTGGGAGGCTCTATTTCACCAGACTATGGGTCACGGTCACTGGATCTTTTATGCCCACATGTCCATCTTGATTCCGTTTGTCACTACACCTCCATGCCTGTGGCCCTTGTTCCTCTCAGCCTCTTCTCCCCACAGCAGCCGGGTGAGCCTTTCTCCTCAGACTCTGATCACACCCTGCCAGTGGCTTCACAGGACTCTGGAAATCAACACAAGGTCCTTACCATGGCCCTCGAGGCCCTGCATAATGTGGCCCTCATGAGCTTTCCAACCTAATGTCTTCCTCCTCTCCCTGTTCTCACTCTGCCCAGGCCACATTGGCCAGCTTGCTGGTTCTCACACTCTAAGTACATGCCAGCCCCAGGGCCTTTGCACTTGCTATTACCTCTGCCTAGAATACTGCTCCTCCAAATAGCTACAAGGCTCTTTACCTCCCTTCCATCCTGTCTCAGCTCAAATCCTGCCTCCTCAGAGAAGCCCTCCCAACCACCCTGCCTTAAAAGGCACTTCCTCCCTTCCTGACATTCTCTTTCGCCAATTTTCTTTTACTTCCTAGCTCCAAGACTGTATCAGACATCCACGTGGTCATTTGCCTTTGGGGTTCCTCCCTCACTGAGTCACGAGCTCCATGAGCGTAGGAGGCTGTCTGGCTTGTGCTGTGTCCCCAGCACCCAGGACAGGGCTTCACGTGTGCAGTCTTCCAGAAGGTCGTGTTGCTTGAGCAAGAAGCTGGTAACACACGGATATGTGTTCAAACCACCTTTTCCATCTCTGGGGAGCCTTATCAGGAAAACCTGACAGAACCTTTGTAACGCAACAATTTGGGAGAAAAATTGCAAACGGGTTATTATTCAGGGAAAAAATACCTCTCCTCCAAACCGGAGCAGCACATCTACCCCACGTACCTGCTCCTTTAGAGAAAAATAGAAAGGTTAATATCGCCCCGTCAGAGGAAAGGAGCCAATTAGCACAACCGCGATTCAGGGGAAGAATAGAGGTTAATTGCTTGGCGTCCACATGTCTCAAATGCCTAATGCTGTATCATTATTTTTTAGCTACATATTATTCATTTCATACACTTAAGTATTCCACCTTATTACTAATTAGTAATTCCCTATCCTTAAATTTTACCCAATTCAGGCTGTCATCATAGGGCCCTCCTCAGCCCCTGTTTTCCCCAAGATGTAACAAAATCGTGGAGAAAATGTTGGCACCTCCTATTCACCACCCTCCTCCTACCCGCCTCCACCCCCACGGACATTCCCTTGGCTCACCTTCCCTTCCCTGGGCGTGCACCTCCCCTCTCCCCTGCCTGCCCATCTCCCGTCTCGGCAAACAGGCTCCACTCCTACCCCGGCGCCCCTCCACATCTCCCACATCCCAGGCACCGCTCTAAGCTTACTACTTGGGCAGAAAATGCAAGTTCCGCCTGCTCAGGTGACCTGGTCCTTTTGAAAAGACCCACGACTTGGTGACATTGGACGTGTTGACTCAACAGACCAGTATTTCCTGGGAACGTAATGATAATGGCAACCACCATAATCATGAGGGCTGTGAACGCTTTTTGAACATTTTTATGTCTCGGGCACCAGGCTGATGAATTTTACATGCGTGATGTGAAGCCATGTACATCCACGGACATCAGTCATCTAAGCAAATGAACGGAGCAACCCAACCCAGGTCCGCAACTACTCGGCATGAAAAGCCCACGGGGATGTTTTTTCTTCTGTCACATGGATTGTTTGAAGCCACTACTCTCCTCACTGTCCTATCTCCAGAGGCTCCTGGGTACCTGGAAAATCTTCAGAGCACCCCTCTCCCTTGGACTCTCTACTTGGGACTAAAACCATGTCCCTCCTGTCTCCATGTCAGAAAGACATGGGGGAGAACAGGGCAGATACAAGATACAAAACAAGCCAGAATCCCAGCCCTAACTTGGACTTGCCCGATGGCCGAAAGTCTGCCCTAGGTAATGATACCGTTTTCAGGGTTGCTCCCAGAAGGAGATCAGCGTGATGAAGCATGTGATGTAGATGCCTGTTCAATCTTCCTCTATGGGGTAAAGATGCTTCTGATCAAATGAGCGGAGGAGTGGTCCCTCATATTCTGGAATTAACAGTCATAGACTATAAACCAATTAGGTTTACTAAAAGACAAGCTTGGGAATCTGTGAAAGAAACAAACAATTATATATATATATATATATATATATATATATATATATATATATATATTTGAAAAAGAACCAAAGAGAATTTCTAGAACTGAAAATTTTCATAATTAAAGCTGATACCTCCTGGATAAGAGAATCAGTAATTAGATCAGAAAAAGCTATCCATCCAGAATACAGGTCCTAGAAAATTATCCTTTGAGGGACAACAACTGGGAAATATGAAAGGAAGTTTCATATAGAGTTTTCATATAGAGCATAGAGTGAGAAGCTCTATAAGGAAAAGAAAGGCAATATAAGAAGAGACAAGGGCTGAGAACCTTCCAGAACTGATGAAAGCTACAAGCCCCTGGATTCAAAAAGCCCAAAAAACCCAAAGCAAGAAAAGTGAAAAGAAATACGTGCCTTGACACATCATGGTAAAATTGCTGTGTGCCAAAGACAAAGGGAAGATTTTTAAATGCAGTCAGAAAGAAGAGGAGGCTTTCAATACAATAGACTGACAATGGACTCTTTTTTTTTAATGTTTATTTTTGAGGCAGAGAGAGACAGAGCATGAGCAGGGGAGGGGCAGAGAGAGAGGGAGACACAGAATCAGAAGCAAGCTCCAGGCTCTGAGCCATCAGCACAGAACCCACCGCGGGGCTCAAACTCACAGACCGCGAGATCATGACCTGAGCCGAAGTCCGACGCTCAACCGGCTGAGCCACCCAGGCGCCCCAACAATTGAGTCATAATAGCAAGAATGGGAGCTGGAAGAATGGACTGAAAACACGGGCACTGGGGTGTTCAGTCGGGTGAGCGACGGATGCTTACATTTTGGCTCAGGTCATGACCCTGGGGTCCTGAGATTAAGCCCCGCATTGGACTCCGCACTGAGCATGGAGGCTGCTCGGGATACTCTCTCCCTCCCCCACGCACACTCACTTGCTTTCTCTCTCTCGCACACACAATAAATAAATAAACCTAAAAAATAGTTAAGAATGGAATGGTGCCTTCAATGTGCTAAGAGAAAAATAACTGTCTACCTAGAATTCTGTGCCCACTGACAATATATTTCAAGAGCAAGGTGAAATATAGACATTTTCAAACCAACAAAAAAAACTAGAAGGGTGCCTGGGTGGCTCAGTTGGTTAAGCATCCGACTTTGGCTCAGGTCATGATTTCACGGTTAGTGAGTTCGAGCCCCATGTCAGGCTCTGTGCTGACAGCTCACAGCCCAGAGCCTGCTTCAGATTCTGTGTCTCTCTTGCTCTCTGCCCCTCCCCCACTCACATTCTGTCTCTCAAAAATAAACATTAAAACAATATTAAAAAAAAAAAAAACTAGAATTTGCCACCAGCAAAACTCAGTAAAGGGAACTCTACAGGATGAATCTCAGACAGTAGGAAAGTGATTCCAGTTTGAAGATCTAAGATGTAAGGAGGAATGAAATGCA